CCCCAGATACTAGATGGGGCTCCCCTGAGCACACAAAAAGGTGTAACTCATGGTCAACCTCCAGCAGAAGCCAGGTGGAACCCACCCCTCAGGGGACCTGCTGAGGGGGGTCCACCCAAGTACTAAGTGGGGATCTCCTTAAGAGAGACCTGACGGGTGGGGAGAACCTGACCATAAGGCCATGTGCCCTCAAACACTTTTAAGGCAAGTCTGAGGACTCTAGTAATAATAAGTGAGTAACGTGTTGTGCAAGATAAGTGCTTAGGGTGCCAAAGTGCAAGACAATGGGTGACCTTTCTGACCAGTATACAAGTTCCTCAGGTCTCATCCAAAAGGCCTAGCCCAGGAGGTAGGTGTGAAAAAAAGTGTGCAAGAGTGCTGTGACCATGGGGCCATACTAAAAACAACCCCACTGGGCCATTAACTTTAAACAAGTGAGGAATTATGACTTTTCAAATGAAATGCTTCTTCCAGGTCAGCATCTCATCTCATCAAATAGTAGTTCTACAAGGAGGTCCGCACTGTCAGCCTTCTCCCAGCCGTCGTATTTCCCCTTTAAGGCTAGACCCAAGCAGCGTTAAATATAACTGTATTCCTCGTCTTTCACTGTATTTCTGTCTAATATTAGGAAATAATTTGCTGTCTTCGGCAGCTCACAGGGGCCCTGACACCCCGGCAGGCATATAAAAGAGGAATTAAGTCTCTAATGTTAATTAGAATATCTCCATCCTTTGTGTATTGAAGCCAAGCCGCGGCATTCTGGGAGTTCAGCAACAATGCCTTTCCTCCCGTTCAAGGCTTTCTCTTGTAAAACAGCAAAATAAATCACATGAAAATTAATCCCGGATTTTCTCCCCTCTGTTTGTTACTCGGTTATTCAGGTGATAAATTAAAATATCTGAATTTTATGAAAATAAATGAAGAGCCGAGATGAAACGTCATCCGGGAGCAGTTCTGAAGAATTCTAGAACCGTCTTGGAAATCTTAAAGGAACACTACACTTACACTTACTGCTTATGGTTTCTGCTGGGGTTACAGGGAGGGTCAGTGTTGGGGTTACAGGGAGGGTCAGTGTTGGGGTTACAGGGAGGGTTAGTGTTGGGGTTACAGGGAGGGTCAGTGTTGGGGTTACAGGGAGGGTCAGTGTTGGGGTTACAGGGAGAGTCAGTGTTGGGGTTACAGGGAGGGTTAGTGTTGGGGTTACAGGGAGGGTCAGTGTTGGGGTTACAGGGAGGGTCAGTGGGGGTTGCAGGGAGGATTAGTGTTGGGGTTACAGGGAGAATCAGTGTTGGGGTTACAGGGAGGATCAGTGTTGGGGTTACAGGCAGGGTCAGTGTTGGGGGTTACAGGGAGGATCAGTGTTGGGGTTACAGGGAGGGTCAGTGTTGGGGTTACAGGGAGGATCAGTGTTGGGGTTACAGGGAGGGTCGGTGTTGGGGGTTACAGGGGGGTCGGTGTTGGGGGATTACAGGGAGGGTCGGTGTTGGGGTTACAGGGAAGGTCGGTGTTGGGGTTACAGGGAGGGTCAGAGTTGGGGTTACAGGGAGGATTAGTGTTGGGGTTACAGGGAGGATTAGTGTTGGGGTTACAGGGAGGGTTGGTGTTGGGGTTACAGGGAGGGTCAGTGTTGAGGTTACAGGAGGGTTGTGTTGGGGTTACAGGGAGGGATAGGTTGGGGGTTACAGGGAGGGTCAGTGTTGGGGTTACAGGGAGGATTAGTGTTGGGGTTACAGGGAGGATTAGTGTTGGGGTTACAGGGAGGATTAGTGTTGGGGTTAAAGGGAGGATTAGTGTTGGGGTTAAAGGGAGGATTAGTGTTGGGGTTACAGGGAGGGATAGTGTTGGGGTTACAGGGAGGGTCAGTGTTGGGGTTACAGGGAGGGTCAGTGTTGGGGTTACAGGGAGGATCAGTGTTGGGGTTACAGGGAGGATTAGTGTTGGGGTTACAGTCAGGTCAGTGTTGGGGTTACAGGGAGGGTCAGTGTTGGGGTTACAGGGAGGGATAGTGTAGGGGTTACAGGGATGGTCGTGTTGGGGGGTTACAGGGATGGTCGGTGTTGGGGGATTACAGGGATGGTCGGTGTTGGGGTTACAGGGAGGGTCGGTGTTGGGGTTACAGGGATGGTCAGTGTTGGGGTTACAGGGATGGTCAGTGTTGGGGTTACAGGGAGGATTAGTGTTGGGGTTACAGGGAGGATTAGTGTTGGGGTTACAGGGAGGATTAGTGTTGGGGTTACAGTCAGGTTAGTATTGAGGTTACAGGGAGGGTCGGTGTTGGGGATTACAGGGATGGTCAGAGTTGGGGTTACAGGGGATGGTCAGAGTTGGGGTTACAGGGATGGTCAGAGTTGGGGTTACAGGGAGGAATAGTGTTGGGGTTACAGGGAGGATTAGTGTTGGGGTTACAGGGAGGATTAGTGTTGGGGTTACAGTCAGGTTAGTATTGAGGTTACAGGGAGGGTCGGTGTTGGGGTTACAGGGAGGGTTAGTGTTGGGGTTACAGGGAGGGTTAGTGTTGGGGTTACAGGGAGGGTCAGTGTTGGGGTTACAGGGAGGGTCAGTGTTGGGGTTACAGGGAGGGTTAGTGATGGGATTACAGGGAGGATTAGTGTTGGGGTTACAGGGAGGGTCGGTGTTGGGGTTACAGGGAGGGTTAGTGTTGGGGTTACAGGGAGGGTTAGTGTTGGGGTTACAGTCAGTGTTGGGGTTACAGGGAGGAATAGTGTTGGGGTTATAATAGTAATTTACAATGAAATTATTTTTCTTTTTAAAGCTGTGGGTGCACTCTCAGTGTTGTGATGAGGAAAGTTGCAGGGTCTGCATCCCTTTAGAAGTACGTATCACTTTGGGAGTATCTCACCAAAACTGAAATTCCTATCGTAGAGAATGAATAAAAAATCCGACTTGTGTCTTAGAGCGGAGTTCTGGAATGAAAAAAGTGAGCCAATCACACAAGCAGGAAATATCTGGGAGCGTTCCGTTCACCAACGCTTTACCCAATGCCTCCAGGTTCCCGTATTGCATGAATATTACCGAATATTACAGCGGCGGCAGAGCAGGAAAGGTCATTCTTATAACATTACATTGCAATATGGCTTTTTTTGTCACCAGGACAGGAAGTGAGATAAATTTCCCCCCCCAGGGGGTACATCCTAAAAACCAGACAGGGGTCCTAACCACTCCACCCTGAACTACAAAGGAGCATGTCCTAGTCCCGAGCATTCACCTTCCCTGAGTCGTCCTTTTATTTTCCCGAGCGCTCAGAGTAAACAAATCAAAAGGTAACTTTGTATATTTTCTCATCTGATGGAAACACAATTTGCGTCTTTGTTTACAGCGATTCGTATCAGTTTGCAAATCATCCAGAAGTCGTTTCTTTGCTTGTTTTGCATAACTAGAAAAAGTGAAATTTGTATTTTTTTTGGTATCTCTATAGAAACAGAGCGAAGTCTTGCTGGGAGGAGACGACTTCTCAGGAGATGAAGTGAACTCTGCGCCGGCCGAACGTTCCGTCCTTATTACTCGGCGAGATGGAATAATGGAGGAGCCGCTCTCTGGGGGCAGCGTCTGCGGCGGGGGCTTGCAGCTCGGAATTCGGGGTTGTCGCCAAAATTGTCACAATTGTATCAAGGATGATTCGAATGATGTGTTCTGTGCTCGCCGTCCCTACCACGCCGTTCCCAGTACCTGGACTCAACTTTACAATACTAAAGTGGAACTCCAAGTTTGTTTTTTTAATTCCTCCTATAAATTGTAATTTCTCCAAAAAAAATGGTGCCAATTGGATGGGCCGATGTCTTTATTCAACATTACCAACTGTAATGTTCACTTGCTCTTCAGTCCAGTGATGACGGTCCTCTTCAGGGCGGAGCAACTATCAAATCATTCCACCCATTTCCTGTCATTTATACATCCTCTAGGGGGCGCTTCATCATGGAGGCCGGGGTCATAATACAACAGCACTAAGCGACATCCGCACTCCTAGAACAATTCTTGCTCCCCGCCTGCCTAGGACAAGTAAGGAGCCGCCATTTTTTGGTCTCCTTACAAAATATCCAGCTGTACTCCTCCATTGTGACTCCCACCATCCATTGTGTGACCTGGGGACAAGTAAGGAGCCACCATCTTTGGGTCTCCTTGTAAAATATCCAGCTGTGCTCCTCCATTGGTGACCTGGGACAAGTAAGGAGCCACCATCTTTGGGTCTCCTTGTAAAATATCCAGCTGTGCTCCTCCATTGGTGACCTGGGACAAGTAAGGAGCCACCATCTTTGGGTCTCCTTGTAAAATATCCAGCTGTGCTCCTCCATTGGTGAGTTGGGACAAGTATGTAGGAGGAGCCGCCATCTTTGCGTCTCCTTGTAAAATATCCAGCTGTGCTCCTCCATTGGTGACCTGGGGACATGTAAGGAGCTGCCATCTTTGGGTCTCCTTGTAAAATATCCAGCTGTGCTCCTCCATTGGTGAGTTGGGACAAGTAAGGAGCCGCCCATTTTTGGGACAAGTCCGCCATCTTATAAAAATATCCAGCTGTGCTCCTCCATTGGTGACCTGGGACAAGTAGGCAGCAAAGGGAAGGCGCAGAAAGGTTGGGAATCCTAATCTGTGTCATTCTCCCAGGTCAGCGATTCAGAAGGTATTGAAGCCACTGGATACAACGACGGCCAGGCAACCGGCAGCTTCAGAGGGAGAAATTTGTGCTGGGAGAGGAGGGTTTTTTAGGGGGAGATTTATGCTCAGAGGGGTAATTTGAGGGGTAGAGGATCTGTGCATGGGCACCGCCCCCCCAAACGGGGGGAAATTAATGTGTTGATGCTTTTCGTGAAGACCGCTGCTTCAGGATATGGGCACCATCAGTAGGGCTTCCAGAGTTCATCAAGAATGAAGGCTGCAGGAGGAACATGGTAAGATTAGTTCCTCTATCGGTTCCTCCTCCCATCCAGGCATACAGGGGGTCACACAGGCCCCCTTAAGCATGGGGTCAGTTTGAAATTACGACCCCTGCAACCGCTGTAGCTACACCCCTGATATTGCACAGGTGTACCATCTCCTCCCTTTTAGTCTTGCACAGGTGTACCGACTCCTCCCCTTCAGTCTTGCACAGGTGTACTGGCTCCTCCACTCCAGTCTTGCACAGGTGTACTGGCTCCTCCACTCCAGTCTTGCACAGGTGTACTGGCTCCCTCCACTCCAGTCTTGCACAGGTGTACTGGCTCCTCCCTTCAGTCTTGCACAGGTGTACTGACTCCTCCCCTTCAGTCTTGCAAAGTATACTGGCTCCTCCCCTTCAGTCTTGCACAGGTGTTACGGCTCCTCCCCTCAATCTTGCACAGGTGTTACGGCTCCTCCCCTCCAATCTTGCACAGGTGTACCGACTCCTCCCCTCAAGTCTTGCACAGGTGTACCGTCTTACCTCCCTTTCAGTCTTGCACAGGTGTACCAGCTCCTCCCCTCCAGTCTTGCACAGGTGTACTGACTCCTCCCCTTCAGTCTTGCTAAGGTGTACTGGCTCCTCCCCTTCAGTCTTGCACAGGTGTTACGGCTCCTCCCCTCCAATCTTGCACAGGTGTACCGGCTCCTCCCTCCAGTCTTGCACAGGTGTACCGGCTCCTCCCTTTCAGTCTTGCACAGGTGTACTGACTCCTCCCTTTCAGTTTTGCTAAGGTGTACTGGCTCCTCCCCTCCAATCTTGCACAGGTGTTACAGCTCCTCCCCTCCAATCTTGCACAGGTGTATCGGCTCCTCCCCTCAAGTCTTGCACAGGTGTACCGTCTCCTCTCTTTCAGTCTTGCACAGGTGTACCAGCTCCTCCCCTCCAGTCTTGCACAGGTGTACCAGCTCCTCCCCTTTAGTCTTGCACAGGTGTACTGGCTCCTCCCTTCCAGTCTTGCACAGGTATACCGGCTCCTCCCCTCTTGTCTTGCACAGGTATACCGGCTCCTCCCCTCCAGTCTTGCACAGGTGTAATGGCTCCTCCCCTCCAGTCTTGCACAGGTGTAATGGCTCCTCCCCTCCAGTCTTGCACATGTGTGCCGGCTCCTCCCCTGGACTGGGATGAGTTCCTCTGATGTCACTGCACACTAGGAGCTTCTCACAATGTACATTAGAAGCTGCAGCCAATCAGATAGAGCTCCGCCTCATTTCCTGGCTGGAGGACATCGAGGATCATCTAGCCATTTCCTCCCCAGCCTGACTGTCCATGGCCCCGCCCCTTTCACTCATTGGATTTCCTTTTAGTTATGGAACATGAGCATCACACCTGGGCAATGCAGTCTGCCTAGGAACGGCCACTCCTCCAGACTAGCCCCCCCACCCATCAAGGCATTTTGATATTTGCATAACTCCTCCCACTGCTTGCATCAGGACTGAGGGCTCTTGAGAGGAGTAATGAGGGAGGGTGCTAGGATGTTTTCCGGAAGCTCTGTACATCCCCCTGCCAGCCCCTCCCACCAGCCATGATCTAAGAGCATTGCATAGAGAAGCACACAGACCCAGTGATGACGTCATTCCGTCTAAAATAAGATATCTCACGAAAAGAGACAGATTTATTTAAAAATATCAATAACACGTTGATGACGGGGGAGGCAGGAGCCACGGATGGCAGAATGTAAGATGATTAAACTTCAGCTTTAAGCATAACATTTACGTTGGATAATCTCAGAACATGTTTAATTATATTAGAGTTCCCACAATGCTGCATCTGCCACCAATTTATCTTTACAATCCTAATTAAAACTCATTAAGTATTTATCTAATCAACTTTGCTGAGAAAACAAAAAGGTCAATACTCCCTTTATTAAATAAAGCAGTTGATGAAGTAATACCGCCATGTTTAACCCCTTCCCTGCACCCTCCTGGTGGATCCCTTCTGGATGGCGGGAATGGAGGGGTCTTCTCAGACTCCAACTAGAAAATCTTTTTGTTTGGGGCCATCAATACTTAACCTCTTCACTCCCCGAGGTTAAAACAAACCTTAACCCCTTCATGCCGGCACCTCCCGGCCCTTTAAGAGTTTCTGGAGGCGGGGCGGGGTTTAGGGTCATGTGACCGCCTTGAAGGGTCATCACAGCGGTCACATGATTGGGAAAGGTCCCAATCGAAAGAGGAGATCGGGACCTTTCCGTGAGTACTGGACATGTGTGCTGGGCAGGGGCGGACTGACAACTCATGGGGCCCCCGGGCAACAGGGGATCATGGGGCTCCTGTGTCCTTGCCCAAACTCAAAAAAGCCTATGAAAATGGTACCAGGGGCAACTCATGGGGCCCCCTACTGACCCCGGGCCCTCGGGCAGTGCCTGAGTTTCCAAATGGTCAGTCCGCCCCTGGTGCAGGGCGCGTGCTCTCGGCACATATGTCCTCTTTTTAATAGAACGCAAATGTGCGGCCCGCTCGGCGTCTAGGCCCAGACACCGGAGAAGAGGACGGCGTGAAGAGGTTAATGCCTAAGCACAATTTTGCAATGTTGACACATGTTAGTAAAACCATCCGTCTCATCACAGCTACTTCGTACATCCGGGTGGATTATACCGCGATTTTTTTCAGGACAAATTGGCCTTTCATTTGGTGGCAAACAATAATGAATATCTCATGATTTTTTTTTTTTTTATTATCCAAGAACAGCAAAAAAAAAAAAAATTTTTTTAAATTTAGCTGTGCTTCTTGTTACTACCATAACCTACCACCAAAGAACGACCCAAAATACATTCTCCATCTCTTGAGTGATCGCAGCGATATACAGATTGTATGTTTTGTTGCAAAATACTAGCCGTCAGATACCATATACAAAATACTAGCCGTAGACATCACTAACCGGATCAATCACTGTTTTTGGTGGAAATGATATTTCTACATGGCAAATAATTTCCTAGCAGGTGTAGTAGAGTCATAGAAATCCAACAGACCCAACAGTCATGACATGCATGCTGCTTATTCTGTGTCATTGAATCACTCATTGAAAGGGGCGTGTTCAATATAATAGCCGTGTGGAGTTCTATTAGTGACGTCATTCATTCTTTGACAAACAGGTGGCAATTATTGCCCTTATTTAAGGAAGGAAGGCAGCAAATGTTGGACATGCTGGTTACAGTGCATTTCTCTCTGAAATTCTGAGGAAAATGGGTCGTTCCAGACATTGTTCAGAAGAACAGCGTACCTTGATTACAAAGTTGATTGGAGAGGAGAAAACATATAAAGAAGTGCAGAAAATGATCGGCTGCTCAGCTAAATGATGGCAAATGCTTTAAAATGGCAACCAAAACCTGAAAGACGTGGAAGAAAGCGAAAAACTACCATTGGAATGGATAGAAGAATAGCCAAAATGGGGCGGACTCAGCCAACAATCAGCCCCAGGAAGATGAAAGAAGGTGTGACGTTCCCTGTGAGGACTCAGCCAACAATCAGCTCCAGGAAGATGAAAGAAGGTGTGGCGTTCCCTGTGAGGACTCAGCCAACAATCAGCTCCAGGAAGATGAAAGAAGGTGTGACGTTCCCTGTGAGGACTGTTACAATTAGAAGACGCCGATGTGAAGCCAAGCTATCTGCAAGAAGTCCCCGCAAAGTCCCACTGTTGGGAAAAAGACGTGCTGAAAGAGGTTACAATCTGCCAAAGAGCACATTGACTGGCCTAAAGAGAAATGACGCACAACATTTTGTGGACTGATGAAAGTAAGATTGTTCTTTTTGGGTCTAGTGGGCGGAGACAGTTTGTCAGACGACCCCCAAACACTGAATTCAAGCCACAGTACACTGTGAAGACCGTGAAGCATGGTGGTGCAAGCATCATGATATGGGGATGTTTCTCATACTACGGTGTTGGGCCTATTTATCGCATACCAGGGATCATGGATCAGTTTGAATCCATCAGAATACTTGAAGAGGTCATGCTGCCTTATGCTGAAGAGGAAATGCCCTTGAAATGGGGTTCCAACAAGACAACGACCCCAAACACACCAGTAAACGTGCAACATCTTGGTTCCAGACCAACAAGATGGACGTTATGGAGTGGCCAGCCCAATCCCCGGATCTTCATCCAATAGAAAACTTGTGGGGTGACATCAAAAATGCCGTTTCTGAGGCCAAACCAAGAAATAGAGAAGAACTGTGGAATGTGGTCCAATCATCCTGGGCTGGAATACCTGATCACAGGGGCCAGAAGTTGGGGGACTCCATGCAACACAGATGTACAGCAGTTCTCAGAAACAGTGCGACTACAACCAAATATTCATGAAGTCATTCAAAGGAAAGCAAAATCTTCAAACATTTCTCAGTTTATATAGTGAATGTTGGAGTTTGTAAAGAAGAATACAGACACTTATTCTTCCATTTTTTTTAGAGGAACAACACAAATTTGATGTATTTTTCTTCATGTTGTGATTTGGAATAGAATGTGTCGTGTTCCCAATGCATTTGTGTGGATGGAAAAAAAAGGATTAGAAGGATTTGCAGCTTTAGTCACTTTTATCATCACACTGATATTATTTTGAACACAACTGTATGTATATGTTCTTTGTTGCTAAATATTTATTTGTTGCAAAATAAATTTTCCAGCTCTTGACGATGGCAGTGATACCCTCTGTGTATGTTATTTGATGTTTGTACCCGGAGGACGGCCCAGAAACAATAGCGCGTGTCATGTTTCACATGACTGTCATATGCCTTTAAGTGTTCTTTGTATTTTGTCTCGGCTCCTCCCTTTCTTCTGGTTTAGTTCTTGCTGTATAGGTAGCTCCACCCTTTTTCCCAGTAATGCATTGCAGCTCTAGCCTCATGTCATGAAGCAGATCACATTATGATCTTTTGACCAATCGAATGTTCATTGATGTAAGATTCTCTCAGTTTATGGAATAAACTTCACAAGATCTACAAGATGTCATCCGGATGGAGTCACTGCCTGTGATATCCAACTGAGATTGGAGTTATCGCTATCTCATCACAACTGTAAGTTACAGAGGTCACACTTTCAATGCTTAGATTGGAGAGACAGGACAGAGCACATTTTGTTTTTTTATTTTTTTTTTTTTTACCTAAAACACACTGACACTAACTGACACTGATACCAATAATAAAAAAATCCTCACCTTTGACCCTGACCTTTGACCCTGACTTTTTGACCTTGACCCACACACTTACCCTAGCACTGAACTAGATCAAACCTTGATCTAGGAATTTTTTATTTATTTTAAATATTTATTTATTTAATTGTATTTTCTAATATTTATTTATATTTCTTTTTTTTTTTTTTAATAAATATTTCCCCCCCCCCTCTATGTCAGGAGTTAGAGAGATACAATGTATCTCTCCTCCACTCATAGAGAGGAACTGTACAGTGACTGATCGCTGTGATAGCCAATCAGAGGCTATCACAGCAATCATGTGACCCGAAATCGGGAGTTCTAACCATCGGGACCCGGGGCTCTCAGTGACACCCCAGTCTTTGTGCTGGGAGCACGCTGTTTGGTGCGCTCCCAGCACAAAGACAGGTACGCAAATATGTGGCCCCCACAGAAAAAAAAGTCCAGTTCTATGAGGGCGCCTATTTGTGTGACGTCGGCGTCAAGGGGTTAAATTACATCTTCCATTTCTAGAATGTTCCTAAAACCAGCCAGATGGAAACCTAATCGCTAAAATCTCATAAACTT